TTTTTAGTAAAGACGGGATTTCACCATGTTGGCCAGGCTGGTCTCAAACTCCTGACCTCAGGTGAATTCACCAACCTCTATCTCCCAAAGTGTTACAATCACAGGCATAAGGCAGCACTCCAGGCAGAATAGTTATTTTTTAATAGTCTATATGTTTTTTGTTTTTCTATCCCAGATTTTTTGCGTTAATTTTGTTGTTGCTTTTTGTTGGGGGGGCAGAGCAGATACATGCCCTTGCCATGTCACCCACGCTGAGTACAGAGCAATCACAGCTCACTGCAACCTAGACTTTCTGAGATCAAGCAATCCTCCCACCTCAGCCTCCTGAGTAGCTGAGACTACAGGTGTGCACCACCACTCCCAGTTAATTTTTATTTTATTTTAAAAATTTTTGGGTAGAGTCAAGTTCTCACTATGGTGCCCAGGCTGCTTCACAAACTCCTGGGCTCAAGCAATACTCCCACCTCAGCCTTCTGAGTAGCTGGGACTGTAGGCATGCACCACCGCACCCAGTGGCTAATTTTGGGCTTTTTTGTAGATACAATGTATTAATCCTTCCTCACACTGCTAAGAAAGACATACCTGAGACTGGGTAATTTATAAAGGAAAGAGGTTTAATTGACTCACAGCTCAACATGGCTGGGGAGGCCTCAGGAAACTTACAATCAGGGCAGAAGGGGAAGGAAACACATCCTTGTTCACACAGCGGCAGCAGGGAGAAATGCCGAGCAAAAGTGGGGGAAAGCCCCTTATAAAACCATCAGATCATGTGAGAACTCACTATCATGAAAACAGCATGGGGGTAACCACACTTACGATTCAATTATCTCCCACCAGGTCCCTCCCATGACACGTGGGGATTATGCTACAATTCAAGATGAGATTTGGGTAGGGACACAGTCAAACCTTATCAGACGGGGTTTTGCCACGTTGCCCAGGCTTGTCTCAAACTCCTGGGCTCAAGTGATCCTCCTTCCTTGGCCTCCCAAAGTGTTGGGATTACAGGCATGAGCCACCATGCCTGGCCTGATTGGTTTTAATATAGATTGCATTAACATGTTTTTTATCGTGATGTCTGAGGTTTGTGTGTTCCCTTAAGTTGTGCACCTGAGGTGAGTGCCTCACTCCCCCTTACCCTAGTCTCAGCCCTGTTCTTGGGAAACTGGAGTGCAGGGAGGCCCTGCTTTTTCAGCCACAGCCACAGAGCTCCTGTGTTTCTCCCCAGGCCTCCCTGCAATACACCTCTGATGGCAATTGGTACCACACCTGCGGAGGGACCCTGATAAACAACAGCTGGGTCCTGACGGCCGCCCACTGCATCAGGTAACTACCACTCCCTGGGCGCTTGGCCTGCTCACCAGCCGGTGCTCATTTCTGAGCTGGGGGCTCAAATGGCCTGAACCACGCTACATAAAGGAATCTTGCAAATAACCACTAGCCTGGCTGAGACACAAGCTGTAGTCAATCAATGGTTCAATGTGTTGGCCCATCAATGTCAGCACACGGCATAGATGGTGTGTCCTGTGCCAGGTACTGAGGGAGGATGAGGAGAAGGGGAAGGCCTGATCTCTGCCCTCTTGGGGAAACCACATGTGGCCTCTGGATCTGGAATTGGGTTCCCTTGAACAACTTGACTTCTCAAAGCTTCAATACCATCACCTGCAGAAAACAATGGAGTAACAGAATTTAGTGTGAATTCAATGAGTTGATTTACTAAAGGGCCTGGCACTTAGTAAGTGCCCAGTGAAAGCTCATTCTGAATTATAGACTAATTATAAAGGCCCACGAGGTTCTGCAACATTGTTCACTTATCCTCTTCGTTGTCCGTGACTTCTGCTCATCACAGCTGGAACTCACCAGAGCTTCTGCTGGGTCCGTGTGACTCCCTATCAGGAGTGATCCCTTCTCCCATCTAATTTATAATAAGCTCTATGAGGTGATGGGGAAACTAATAGAGACTTACAGTCAGGAGTCCTGGCTTCTGGTTCTGGTTTCTCACTAACGATGGGACTCCGGGCCAGGTTACACCTCTCTGGGCTTCAGTTTCCCCATCTGAAAATGAAAGGTGGGAAAAATGTCCTTGAGAGCAACTGACTCCTGTTTTCTCTGTATTCATCTCATTCCCTCCATAATCCTACAGAGTCTGTGTTATTACAACATTGATTTTATATTATAGTTTAAAGTTAGTATAGTAACAATTATTATATGATCATAGTTCTTACGTTATATACTTTAGGCTCTATTATAACTAACTAATTGTCCCAGGGGAGGAAAGATCCCCCAAGCCCAAGCCCCACCTAGTGGCTCATGCAGCAGCCAGTTACTTGGGTCTATCCCAACACTGTCCAAAGCCAGGCCTCTGGAGGTGACTCTTTCCCTGGGCCCCCTTTCTCCCAGCGACTCCAGGACCTACCGCGTGGCGCTGGGACGGCACAACCTCTACACTGCAGAGTCCGGCTCGCTGACCGTCAGTGTCTCTAAGACTGTGGTGCATCCGGACTGGGACTCCAGCGATGCCTCCAAAGGGTTCGTTTCTGTCTGGGTGCACTTGGGGGTGAGGTTGTCAGGGAACACATGGGGGTCTCACAGAGGAAAGGGTCTCAACTCCACCACATGCCCTCTGCTTCTTCTTTAGGGAAGGGGAAGGAACTCTGGCCTCTTAGATGTGGAACCAGCTCCAAAGATGTCTGGGGTGGGGATGTGACCTGGGGAGGGAGAAGCAAAGACTGCCAGAGTGACCTGAGTTTGCTGCCAGTCAAGC